ACGGTGTGCGGGCGCGGGTGGGCGCGCTCTGGGCGAGGCTTAACATAAGAAAGGATGGATGATTGGGTCCATTTGGGGGGGCGGAGAAGGGGCCGTCCCAGGTCTGCAGAAAGCACTGCAGGCCTCAGGAAGCATTTCTGAACTTCTCCACAGGGAAAAATGGATCCAATTATGCATCCTTTCTTATGTTAAGCTGTGCATTTGGACAACACACTTGGTGATTAGGTTCCTCCTATAATCATTACTAATAATGATGCAAGAAGTCAGTCTGTGCTTTTTAAAGAATTATTTGGAGCATGAGTGTTTTAATGAGTCATGAATTGGGGAAGATTTCATTCTCTTCATTCTGATGCTTTTTGTAGGGAAGAAGTCAGCACTATTATCTTGCTTATATTTTTAATAAGGCTTTAATTTAAGAATCCCTAAAGAAGCCAGGTTTTTTTTTTAAAGGGACAATGTTGCTCCCTGACACCGCATCCCCCCAGGCAGGGCTGCTAAAGAGCAGAAGTGGCTGAAGAGCTGGGCTGCAAGGGGTCAGCCTGGTGCCCCAAGGCCTGTTCTGTGACTTGGCCTGAGCCCACATTGTGGCCTGGAAGGGGCCTGCCCATCCCCCTCCACTCCAGCTTGCTTCTCTGTGACAGATGACTGGCGACAAATCAGAGACTCCCAAGTCTGGGGAGGTCTGGAGAGAAATTTCAAGGGCTTGTTAAAAATTCAGAGACCTGGGCCGGACCAGCCAGTTAGCGTCTCGGGGAGGGGCCGATGAGTCTGCATTTAAGAGGCTTCTCCAGATTCTTAAGTGGCCACAGGACTGAATGATCATCAAGATTCTTTCAGATTAGAAAATCTGTGCTTCTGGAGTTCATCCTGCCAGTGCTCATGGTCTCCCCCGAGTAGGGGAGGGTGCAGGAAGCAGGCTGGGCTGGGGCTCAGGCTCCTGGCTCCTCAGCACCAGGAGGGTGGGGTGGGGCTCCTTTAACAAGGTCATGGCAGCAGATGGAGGGGATCTAGACCCGCGAGCAGTGGACAGCAGCTGGCTTACCTGAGAGAAGCTGCCTCAAGACGCAGTGGCTTCTGACTTCATCTTTCAGGAGGAATGATGGAGGCCCGCCCGTTTGTTTGCACGGGACAGGGCTGGGTGCCACTCACTGACCTCAAAACCAGTTTAAGTCTCCCTCTGTGGCAAACAGGCTGCTGCAGCTTGTTTCTTCTAAACTGCTTGGATGTTTCTCTGGGCTTGAGCCACAAGTTTGAAGTTCTGCTGCGGCCGCTGGCTAGCATGTCCGGCAGGGAGGACAGGGGACGCAGGGAGACAAGCCAAGCCTCGGCTCCCCTCACAGCCGGGACGCTCAGCCCTGCGCTGGCAAAGGCCCAGGGAGCACAAGCCTTCCCGCGCACCATGGGCCATGTTTCCTGTGGGGGTCACAGAGCGCCATGAGGCAGATCAGGCCCTGAGGGACCCACCACCTAGGGGAAGGGCTGTGGGCAGGCTTGGCCGAACCCACCAGATGGAGGGGCCTGGTTACTGCACTTGTGGAGACAGGTACTCCTGGGCAGAGTGCTCCTGCCCCCGGGCTGGGGCGTGGGAGGATGGTGGGGTCCCTGGCCACCGTTCCTACATTCACTCCCAGCCGCGCAGCTCAGCACGGATAGCCCGTGATCTCCCGGACGTGCCTTGTGCTCAGGAGCCATCCGGAGCAGGGCAGGGGCTGCAGCTGGGGAGGTGGCTTCTGAATCCCTCCCCGGGCCTGAGTGAAGCTTCCACCTTGGGCTGGGTCGTTCAGGGGAGCGGGCACATCAGACAGAACCCTCCTCCTGGCTGCCCCTCCAGGGAGAGCTGCAGACCGCTCCGCAGTCCTTTGCCCGATGGCAAGGGGGCTCCCAGCGGAAGCCACACACATAATGGGAGAGCAGCTTGCTCCCTGCAGGGAGCCTTACAGGCTCCTTTGGATCAAAACCCATTTTGATTTTCCTCCCCATGTGGAATGCTAGGGAGGCCTGGCTAGAAGATTCCATGACAAGCTAGGGAATATTTTATCCTCATTATAGTTCTAGTTTAGTTAAATTTATTTAGCCTTTAATTTCTTATGGCTGCTTGTCAAATCAGGAAATAGATTCATATTCTCTCTCTCATAAAAAGACATTTAAAAAGGTCTTGTAAGTATTAAATGACACCAGCTAGAAGAGTCGGCAGTGAATCTGGGCTGAAATAGTACAGTTTTCCTGTATGAGGGTATTTTACATCCGCAGTTAACAGGGAAAGCGGGCTCGTAAGAGGACGGGAAGTGCTATGAGCAGCAGAAAAGGGGGCAGATGCAAAATATAACTTCTGGGAGACTCTCACATGGCCTGGCGGTTCTGCTCCTCCAGGTCTGTGAGCTAACTCAGACGGTCACTGTCACCCTGCCAGGCTGTACAGGCATCGTGGCCGTGGGGCCTGAGGCTGGCGTCCACTCCTGTGCCCACGGCTTACTCCAGGGAGGCCTGTGGAAATGCTGTGGCCCATGCAGCAAGAGCTCCCTGGTCCCCATGACCCACCGGCCCCCATCCCCATTAAAAGCCATCCCCTAAAGCCTGTTTCTGTGTGGACCAGCAAGAGCCAGGCAGGCCTCTCCACAGCCCACGGGGAGAGGGGCAGCCTCCAGGCTCAGAGAACGGGGGTCTCCAGAGCTACTACAGATCTAAAGGATCCTCACAAGGGGAAATGGGGTTGAAGCAAGAGGCAGAGGCTTTTGCTTGCAGACTGTGAACGGGCCTCCTGTCCCTGAAACACAGAGAAACACATCGGGTCCAGCCCCATGTGGTGCCGGGGGCTTCCAAGAGGGGCGGCCGGCTACCTCAAGCAGCGGCGACCTTGTCTGAGCTCAGAGTTGTGTTTTTCCCAGAAGTAAATAACTGTTCTCAAAAAGCAGCGTGGGTATTTTCAGCCAAATTCCAAAGGAGTTATTCATTTTTTCAACAAACAGGGCAGAGCTATAGTCATGTTTTCCAGCACCCACGGACACAGGGGGCTGGGAGCTGGGTGGGGGCCTCAGGGACCAGCGGGGGGCGCCCCAGGACTGGGAGCTGCAAGACCTCCTCGCCCCCAGCTGCCTTGTCCTTGGCTGGGGGCTCCTTCTGACACCTCCCTGTGAGCCTGGCAGGCTGCACCTCCGTCTCGCCCTGGCCCTCAGGGAGATTTCTTAGGATGTCCCCAGTGGCACTGGATGGCTCCATGGCTTGGGATGGTCCTATGGCTGTAAGGACAGAGGGCTGGCGAAAATGTCTCCTGTTTCGGCGCATCTGCTCTGGGCCAGGGGGACTCCATGTACAGTGACCACCCTGCAGAATGTGTGCCACGGCTCCCAGCGTGCAGGTGTGGAAGCAGAGGCACAGAGGTCTACTTGCCAGGGTCACCAAGTTTACAGGCACAGAGCGAGGACTTGGCCCCAAGTAGTGCCCCAGGCCCCCTGGGGCGGGAGAGTCCCGTGGCTGCGTCTCAGCCCCATATCTGCAGGCATCCTTGGGGTAGGCAGGACACGCAGGACCCCTTCTAGCAGGTTCACCCAACCCAACATCCCCGACCCGTGCCCGCTGGCCCCCATCCCCTCAGGGTCAGCAGCAGGGGCTCTGCGCTCTCGGGAGGCCTCGGGCAGTGTCAGGGTGCCCCGCTCCCCGGCTTCTCGGGGCGCAGAGTGTGCTCTGATGGAGCTCAAGGGACCCCATCGCCCAGGGCCTCTCACAGCGGGGGTGGGAGCCTGGGTCACCCCCCCGGGGGCCACCACGCAGGCTGGCGTGGCTCACCGCCCCCCCCTCCGTGTCCTGTGTTCTCTCAACAGCAAATGAAGCTCATGGCCCAGAACCTGAAGGAGGAATCAAGGGAAGCCAATAAGGAGGAGGAGGCCTGAGCGCCCGCCCGGGGCCGCCCTGAGCGAGGGCAGAGGGGCACCTGGAGCAACGCGGTGGCCCCTGAACCCAGACCCGGTGCTGCGCAGCCAGCACCCTGCCCCCCTCTGCGGTGTCCCAGTGAGGGCCGGCGGGGAGGACAGCCGAGACCCAGCCCCTGCCAGGCCCCCACCCCGCTGGCTCCTGCCTTCCTGTCCCTGCCCAGGCCCCCCCAGCACCCCCCCATGCAGCAGCCCGACCGTGGGGGCTGGGCGGCGGGTCAGGCCGAGCGCCCCCGGCACCACCACCACCAGCGGGGCCGGTCTGTGGGGGTTCGGGCCCGGGGAAGGGGGGCGAGGCAGTGTTTCCAGCCCCCGGACAGCTCTAAACACCTCTTGCCTGGTTCTGTTCTGCAGTATGTTAACAGACCCTTTCTCAACAAAAGCCGTAGTAACTGAGCGATTAAAGGCAACACGTACCTCTCTGACTCCTACTTACCCCACGAGGACTGAACGAGCCCTGGGTCAGGTCATTGGAGGGGGAGCTTGGGGGGCCTCAGCTGGAGGCTGGGCACCTGTGTGCCACTTCCAAAGCCCAGGGCCAGGCCCAGCCAGTGCTGGAACCCGTCCCCTCGGGACTGGCAAGGGCCACCGGGGCCGCTTTCATGCCCATGGCAGCCAGCACCCTGGTGTGGGCTCATCCCTGTGGAGGGGGGCCTCTGCCTAGCGGTGCCATCCACCCCCTGCCTGGGCCCAGAGGGCTGCACACACCTCTTTCTCGGGCGCGGAGGCGGTAAGTCGAGCTCCAACTGCTCGCTCCTCTGGCTGTGTCACAGCACGTGTAACCATGAGGACCACCCAGGAGGGCAGAGCCTGGCTCCCTTTGCCTGTCAAGCTCGGCCCTTCCCTGCCTGAGCCCATGTTCCTCACAGACCCGTGGGCCCCTCCTTCCACCGGGGAAAGAAGGGGCTGAGGACCTTCTAGCTTCTAGACCTGTCTACCTCGGGGGCCCAGCGCCTTCATTCTCTCCTTCACCTCGAGGTGGAGGTGGCCTCAGCAGCCCGTTCAGCATAGTGTGCTGGGAGGCCCGACGCCCCCGTCTGCCCCTCGTGCTTGTCGGGTTGGTCCTGCCAGGCCGCCGAGTCTGCCAGCGTGGACATCTCGGAGTCGGCTCTACCCAGCCCCTGCTTGGTCTAAGGCACTCCGTGGCCCAGTCATCCAGTGGTGGTTCCAGGCCCGATGAATACTTTCTGGAACATGCTCGTGGTTTGAAGCACCGGTGAATGGCAGCCACCACAGTGGTCCTGAGCTGAGTCTCCTGGAGCTTCCTCACAGTCCAGCCTGCGGAAGGGGAAAGTGTCAATGGGGTCCATGGACCGGCTCGTGGTCTCGCACGGGTCCTGGCTGTGAACAGGAGTCAGCTCGACGCCCTGCCCATGGGCTGGCCCTCCTCACCCTGCGAGGCGCCCGTGCAGAGCCGGGGGTCCCTGCCCTGGAGACCGGCTTTCCCGGGATCCTCCCTGGGCCCTTCCTCAGTACCACCGGGCAGAAGCACAGTGCTTAGCCAGGGCTCAGCCGGGGGGCAGACGGTACCCCTGGGGTAGGCACACACAGGACCCACCTCCGCTGGGGCCATGCGGGCGCGTAGGATCGGTAGATTGTGTCAAGAGCGGGGTTGGTGGGAGGGGCTGCCGTGTAGGTGTGCCGGCCCTAGAGCTGCTCTGGGCCTTCCAGCTCATGGCAGGTGCTCAGCAGCGGGCCTGGGGGCGCCAAGGCCTTTTCACTGCTCCACCCCCTGTAGTTCCCCTACTCTCCTAACCGAGCAGAGGGGGACATGGAGGACAACGCCGCCCCGTCCCCAGCCAGCACCACTCACCGCAGCCTGTGCCCCGCACTCCTCTCCCTCCGCTCTTCTGCCCACGGATGTGTTCTCTTGTTTCTGGCCTCACCTCCGCCCTCAGGGCCAAGCCCTGGGGATGGCAGCCCAGCCAAGCGAGAACCGTGCTCCCACGTCCCCAGCCCGCCGTGACACACGGGGACTGCAGAGTGCCGGCCCCAGCCCGGCTGTCCCATGCCGGAGCAGCTCTGACAGGGGACCGGGCAAGCGCTCCCAGGGGGTGGGTCAGGTGAGGACAAGCAGGAAAGGGCTGCGGAGCCTCAGGCCTCCAGCCCCGTGTCTCTCAGAGGCGGGCAGAGGGGCTGCCCACGCCATGGTCAGCCAAGGGGCGCGGAGCCCAGGCGCTTGGCCTCCAGGCCTGGTCAGCCCTGGCTTTCCACGAGGACAGGCCCGGAGAAGCACCGCAGCCCCAGGGGGGGCCACAGCCCTTGCTGGGCTCCCCCAACGTGCTAGGAGGCTCTGCGCACCCCACCGTGGAAGGCGCCCAGCCGTCTCTCCCCATGGATGACGCCCCCCCCCACCGCCCACCCAGCTCGCCTCTCTGAGGCTCTAAGATGCCGATTGTTCCTAAGCCCATAGACCGTGGCCGGCCTTGACCCTGGTACGGCCTGCCCGAAGCCTGGTTCACTCTTCAGCCCAAATGCCCTGGCGCCACCAGCATGACATCTAGGTCTGTGCTCTGACATTTAGTGGGTGCCCCCGACAGAGAGCTGGGCTGTAATGCCCCACACAAGTGCCACAGGGACCCCAGAGTGTCCCTCTGACTAGGCCTGAGCTTCAGCTGGCAGAGTCCAGCCCCTGGCTGCCGCCTTGGGGAGAGGGGGTCAGACAGTGGACCCTCCTGTCCCTCCTGAGGAGCACATTGTCCCCCTCCTCATCAGCAGCTCAAACACTCAGACTTGAGGACAAATCTTTATCTTAGCGGCTTAGGGGAAGGAGCAGGAAGCCAGCGGTTAGGGATACCCAGCCCTACGATGAAGCTGGAGGCCGGGAGCCCACTGCCCTCCTTGATACACCCCATGGGCCTTGGTTTCCTTACATTGTTCTTTAGAGATGAGGAAGCTGAGGCACACAGGGTTCCCCCACAGCTCTCTCCACAGCTCCACATGGACCTACATCTGCCAGGATCGTACTGCATGCAGCCTCCACCAAGCTGCCCACCACCCGCTCTCTCCTCAGCCCTCACCCCTGCAGCTCCCACGCTTTCTCCAGCAGGAAACTAGCCACAGAAGGAAGAAGGCCTAGGATCCAGAGTCCTCCAGCTGAGTTATTCCAAGAATCCCAGGGCCCCGCGATGACAGTACGTGGCACCAGCTCTTGGCCAACAGCAGCCAACAGGGCTGAGTCTGAAGAAACAGGCCAGGCTTCCCTCCCCGTGCCCCACGCTCACCCGAGGGTGGCTTCAAGAGCAGGAGGCCTGAGACCGGAGCCACCGGCACTTCCAGGAGGCCACCAGAGCCTGGAGGAAAGACGTGGCCCCTGAGCCAGGGCAGCTGTATCCTTCAGCTTGGGAGCATCCTTTGTCCCAACCACGAGAGGGGCCACAGCCTCTTCAGGGGATGGAAGACACTTTTTCTGGCCCTGTCGAGAGGCCCGTTTATAGTCTTCTCATCCATGCAAAAGTGGGCACCCAGGAAGGTTGTGGGACACTTGCAAGCCAGCCAGGGGGCCCCACCCAAAGCCTAGGTTGGGGGACAGTGAGTCCCGCATGGGGGCCATGCGGCAGTGGCGCTGGCTCAGCAGCACAGGGCCCCAGCTTGCTCAGAGTATGTTCGCACCCCACTGGGAACGGAGCACCTGGCCCTTGTTCAAGCGATTACCCTGCTCCCAGCACCCTGGGCCTGAGGAAGAGGATGTGGGCAGGTTGGCCCCGGAGTCACGTCCCCGAAGATGCCTGCAGTGGATGCTGCGCATACTGAGGTTTGAGAACCACGGCGGGGCAGAGGCCTTTCTGGTTTCTCCCCAGAAGTAGCCAGCTTCCTTCCTCACTGCCTTGACCCCATGGGGCCAGGTGGGGGACCTCCGCACCCACCGGTCCAGGAGCCCTGGGCCTGAACAGGAGCTGGGGTAGAGCAGCAGCCTGCAGGGCCAGAGGCCTTCCAGCTCCGGGGTGCCGGCGTTGGGTGACCCCCATCTGCCCTGGCCCTCTGTAGGGCCCTGGGATGTTTGGGCCGTTCAGGGGAGGGAGGGGGTGCCGAACTCCCTGCTGACTGGTATGTGGGCCTCACGTGATTATTAAGTAAAAGAGGGATGGTGGCGTTTTGCCCTGCGTGTGTGGCACAGATCCCGCTGATGACACATGGCCTCCTCTCTGGACTGGGGAAGGGGGCACAAGGCACAAAGTGGCCAGAGCACGTGGCACCTTCCCCCCCCCACCCACTGCCCTCTCTCTCTTAGCCCGAGTGTGCCATCCCCAGCCTCCGACAGGCCCAGGTGGGCATAACAAGCCTTGAGGCCGAATCTTCACTTTAAAGTCCTGTTCGGTACCAGGGACTTCATGGTAGAGTGCGGAATAATGAACCAGAAGGCAGCTCAAGTGTAGACACGGGGACATGCCCCCCTTTACACAGCTGTCTGGCTTGAAAAGGTGAAACCAGTGATGTCTCCCCAACTGCTGGAGGCTGACGAGCCCCTTTAGGGCAACCTCTGCCCCTCCCGACCCCAGAAAGCAAGGCCGAAAACAGGCGCCACGGGTTTGTCCGTCGCAGGTGGAGCCGGGGGGGGGGGTCCCGGAACGTGGCAGGACCGACCGCCGGTGGGGGGCTGCTCACCAGCACCCCCTCCGGGCCCCCCCTGGCCCCGGGCCTTGCCAAGCAGCTGGCCACAGCTGTTTCCCAGCTGGAAGCCGTCCGCGCCTCTGGGCCACACCTGAAGGAAGGACACAGGTTGGGGTTTGCAGAACAACCTGCATCAACCCACCAACATGGTGGACGTCCACCCGCACTGCGTGTCCACCGGGCTGGGCTGTCGCTGTGCTTCCTACACGAACATGCCGAAGGTCCACTTTCCTAACAGACAACAGGCCTCCCAGGGACTGAGAGACAGGCCTTCCCTGGTCTCCATCTCCTCCCAGACGGCAGGCCCCAGGGACTAGCCATCTGGCCCAGGGAAGCCGCAGCCAGCCAGAATTCTTGCGGAAATGTCGTGAGACCGGCTCTCAGCCCTGACTCTAGATGATCTCGCCCCACGAGGTGTGTGATCAGCTGCCCAACCTGGTCTCACCTACAGGTCCGCAATCCCCTAGGACCAGCTATGTGTATGAATTTGGAAATTTCAGGTGGTAGGAAGGTAAAAAGATGCTTATACACGGGTCAGGTACGAGCTCCAGTGTGGCTTAAAGTGGAACCTTACAGGACAAGGCTTAATACTGCTTGGCCGGCTCTCTGGTACTGCAAGGTCAAAGGTAATGTCGAAGGCGAGTCTCACCTCTCCGCATCCAGGTAGGCTCACCTCTCCGCATCCAGGTAGGCAACCTGAGGAGTGGGCTCTGGGATCAGATCCTCGGGCAGGCGTGCTGTGCCCTTGGGCAGGCCTCTCACCTCTCTTGAGCATCAGGGACTGCACCGGGAGGCAGGGGCCATG